ATGCAAGCCACTTTTGGGTCAGAACCCATAGGTTGAGAAATGCTGCTATAAGCAAGCACAAGATTAAGGAATAAAGTAACAGTAAGAAGCAACAAAGGGTGAATCCTCAACTGGCAAAAACTGTATACTCCAAGGCAATGTAGCAATGACCAGATTGTATTAATGTAAACAGGAATATCTAACTTTGACCCTTTTCTAAGTTTTATTTTAGTAGTAGTACGAGTCTATACTAAACATACTGGTCAATATTAACAAAACGTATTTACTTGGTACAACCTCTATTTTCCTAATTACTGTGAACATTTTGAATTTCAAACAAACTTAGTAAAACTGAAATCCAGTGTGATTTTGTTTGATTCATCCTCAACGAGAGAAAGAAACAGGAGTTTGCTACTCTTTAAAAATGACTTAAAGTCCGTTGCCATGACTTGATGTCTCATTCATTAGAATGAGGAACCTGTATTAGCTTGGGGTAGAGAGACTGAACATTTGAATGGATTGTGCTGCAGTTTTACATGTGGATGAATACACACATGCACAGGTAGATGTAGGATTTTGAAGAGGGAGGTGCAGATGGTGTGGCACATTATCACATATAACATGACACATTTTTCTCCAGTTAAAGATAAACTAGATGCTTTACTAATATGCTAGGGGCCAAACACTACATTTTTCATCTTAATATCAAAGCAAAAACAAATATAACTTTATTGGAATGTGCACTGATTTGCACTGAAGAAGAACAACTAGGCAAAAATAAGTCAAGATACTACATTGTGGACATGTCTACACGAGACATTTACTGAGGAGCCACCTAATTAGCTCCACTATAAATGTCTCAGTGTCTACACATGCAGCCCTATTACGTCACAGTAAACCAACAAACTTTACAGCAGGTTAGTACTTGTAAATACAAGTACCATCCTGCTGCATAGTTCTTCATGCGCAGCAATGGAGATGTAGATGCTGACCCGGCTGGCTGGGGCATGAGAGGGCTTCAGTGCAGGGGCTGCCTGCCAGCTAGCCCCGCACTGGAGCATGCTTGTGCCCCACCCAGGACCTGTACAACATGCTGAGCCGGGCAGGAGCAGCCCCAAGCTGGCAGGCTGACCCCCAGAGCTCCCTGCCAGCCAGGACTGCACCTGCCCAGCTCAATATGTTGCAGTCCCAGTTGCGCATGTAAACTCTGATATGTGCTGGAATTTATTGCTTTGAATTAATCGCATGTGTAGATGCACCCTGTTAGCCTTATAGTCGTTATAGTTCAATGTATGTCTCTTGCACAGATTCATAACACAAAATTTAGTCTTCCTGAGCATCTTGATAGTGACTCCAATACTTCATTGTCAGTCATTCTACATCTGAGTTAATATTACCACACCTGAGTTAAAGTTTTTAGCTAGAGCTAAAAAGAGTCTGCAGGGCTGTGAAATAGAAGAGAGATGTTACATGGAATGGCTAACAGACAGCAAAATTGCATAGGAAAGAACCTACAATAGTGGAGCATTTGAACAGTGGAGCATCAAAAGCATTAAAAAGGAGAGGGGGTTGTTGGAGTAGAGAAAAATTAGCAGGAATCAGGGAGATGATATTGAGACATGAAGTCAGAATTACTTGAATAAAAAGCACCGCTGCCTCTCTGAGGCAGTTGGTTTTAATGTTGGGTAGAGCAGGTATCGAAAGGGATTACAGCGGCACCACTGTACTCTCCTCCTCCTCCATTCCCATCTTGGATGCCCCGCACACATGATGTTAAGACTAAAAATTTCAAGACAAATGGAGTATACAATAGTCCCTGTTCTTAAAGAAAACTTTTTAGCTTTAGTTATAAATTCTTAGATCCTCAGATGCTGTATAAATGCATAGTACACAGACTACAAAAAAAGTAAGAGTTTTAGAAAATATGCATTGCAGCCCTAAAAACTTGTAGTTTGTGATAAACATTTCCAAAAATTGTTTAGCTTCCCTATTTGTTCTTCTAATTCTTTTGCATTGAAATCAAATAATAAAATTACAAGATAGTTTAATACTTTACTAGTGAATTAAAGTTTTGATTAAAGCACTGAGTTAGGTATGTGACAAAAAACTTGTAAGGCCTGTGGCTCTGCTCCATCACTTAGAGGTTTTTTTTCTTTTCTTCTTTCTCTTTCTTTGTCTTTTCACATGTTTGTCAACCTGGTTACCTAGGCAACCAGGTTGTTGCATATGTGCCCTGGCTCAGGTAAGAGGGGGTAGATCTAGCTTCTCCATTGTTCTGAGTTCTGACCACACAACATGGGGGCTGGGCTTAAGCCAATGTCACTCCAATAGGTAATGCTGATGATTTTCAAATTGATTGCTCAGCATCAAATAATACCTGTCCCTGACTGGGTCCAGGTGATGAGGTTAGTAGGGCTATTTAAGAGGGTTCCTCAATGTTGGGGTGGGGAGGGGAGCAGACATCTTCTGGACACAGAATCAAACCATGTACCTCCAGAATCCTCTGGATGTTGCTGTGAGTAACTTATCTGAATTGTAGGCAGTAACTTAAATCTAAGTGCTCTAGACATGTACTTAAAGGGCCAATGAGCCCCTTATACTGTTTTGCTCAAGGCTGTTTTCTTTCAGAATTCTTTTTCATGTGTATTCCTTCCCTGTGCCTTCCCTCTCCAAGCAATAAGGCTATCTATCATAGCAAGCCTGGCAGTAAATGTTTGAGAGAGATTGGGCAAGCCTTTTTGCTCCCTTTGCTCAGCTGACTAAGGGAGGCTACTTTCCATGCTTCAGGCTATAAGAAGCACCCAGATATATCCTTATGGGGGTAAACAACCCCTAAGTCTACAGGGCCTATGTACCCTGAATGGCACAGAGCCCTAATAGAGACCAGAGCTTGGGTAGTGGCAGTGGTTACCCCAGGCTTGTGGGTGTGCTCCAGGAAGGGGGGTGGCCAGAAGTTGGTGGCCCTGGGGAGGCATCTGAGGGTTGGTTTTGGTTCGGCACAGTAAGGTGTGTGGTTTGGCACCACAGCACCCCCTACTGGCCCACCAGAAGGTATTCTGAAGACTCCCCAATATGATTATAATTTGTCATTTTTTTTCTTGACATAATTATAATATTTTGACAGGGCATATTAAATTAGCATTAAATATCATGCAGAACAGATTATTTATTTTTGTATGAAGTAGCAAAATGTGATCCACAATCCAAAGAAATCCACGTTCTCTTTTCCAGTAAGATTGAAGCATATAATTGCACATTTACAAGATTGAATATGCTCTCACACATACACACACACACACCTACAATACTTACTGAAAAATCAGGCCCAAGATAAGCTAATAAAATAGAATAATAGAAAAGTAGGCTGGAAGGGACCTCAGGAAGTCATGAAGTCTAGCTCCCTGCACAAGGCAGGGCCATCCCCATCTAAATCATTCTATACAAGTGTTTGCCTAACTTAGAGAAACTGTTTGAACAACCTAATTGCACAGCTAGGAGGCACAAAACTCCAAGAACAAGCTAACTTGCCAATGGTAAAGCAGGGAACAAGGGCACTGTCAACGTACTGCTGCTGCTCTCATAGAGTATCTCATAGGCAGTAAAGTAAAAGAGGATTACAACAAATAATAATAATGGTTCCTTTAAAATTACAATTTGAAAGGACCTTAACAGGAAGTTAGGAAATCCAACTTTTTGGCTGGAAAATATTACTATGCTCCTATTATGTATTTTGGAATTATCTAAGGCCCCCTCCACACATTACAGGTACTGTGCAATTAACAACATCTCTTTCACTACTTTAAACTAAAGGAAATTTATAAAAGAAAAATAGCTCTGAATTAGAAAAATGAAACATTTAGTTGAAAAAATGTCATAAAACATAAATTATTCTAAACCTGAAAAACAAACAAACAATTTTTCCTCCATTTTTCTCCCCAGGAATAAAAAAATTCAGTCAAACCAATACAAACTCATGAAACACAAAATGCACGGGTTGCCAAAAATAAAAATAAATAAATGTTTCAGACAAAAACCAAACAAACCCAACAAAACACATACAAGCCAACTAGGACAAAAAAATTTTTGCCTGAGAATTTTTTATTTGTGGTAATCTCAAGCACAGACATATTCTCTAATACAAATATGGTTTCTTGGAAAAGAACACCCCCTGGGACTTTTGAGTGACAACTGTAGATGGTCGCTAAAGTCATCTTTGGGGCTGTGTGTTCTCAATTTTTGAAAAAATGAAGTGTACATGGTATGATAGACTTTTTTTTAAACTACAAAATGCATTAATGGTGCTTTCACTTCCACTCTTGAAAGAATGGCAGATCTCACATAACTGCAATTTTGATCAAGTTGAAGTATCTTCACAGAAAAGCCCAAATTTTTGCTCATGTAGGTTAGGCAAATAATACAACTGAAATCAAGGGTTGCAGAACCTGATGCATCTTGGCAACAAGGTGATTTCTTGTTTATTGTTCATCTCTAATGTCTGGAAGCTGTAGAGTAACTCAGAGGGGTTATCAGAATAATTTTTTCATTCTTAATTGCTGTTTATAAATATATATATATATAGTGTAGAAAATACATGTAATCATACCCAAGTGTAGGAATGTTATTTAAAAAAAATTAAGAGGTTATGAAAGGTTTTTTGTTTTATTTATATAGTGCAATGAAACTCTTTGTTAATGAGGAGTCTAACTGCATGTAGGATTGACAAGTGCTCTCAGTCTGGCTATCTTGAATCAAAGGCTCACCAAGGCCATAGTTCAACAATGCACTTAAATGTCTACATATGCTTAAATGTTTTTCTAAAGGTGCTCCTGGGAGTTCAGCTGACCACAGCATGGAATTCATCCCTGTGCAGGAAGCCAACACAAAGTCAATGCACCATTTTAGGCCACTTAGAAGTATAATGTTCAGTTTAAACAGTGCATGAGGCTTTGCTGAGATACTCTGCATTGGGCAACCTCAATAACACAAACAAACAGAGGACTGTAAGGGACATCAAAGTTAAATTGACCGCTTGATCTGAATGCTGTGTGAGTAATCATCTGAACCATTTTCTCTTTAAAGACATTACATTACTCAGTAGTGGATTTATCAATAAACAAATGCACTTACTGGAACGGAAAAGGCAAGAGTCGTCAGAAATTCTTGAGGAGCTTAAAATGCAGGGAATCATCAAGGGCCAAAGCACACCTTTTGGAAATGAAGAAGCACCTGATAACAAGGTAAGTGCACTGAGTGTTGATTCTGTGCATACACATACTAGTTTGTTGCAATTACTGTGCCTCAAGGATACGCACTTTGCAGGACAGGCACTTCACTGCCTGAGGAACAAGAGGTTAGACAACAGATAAACAAATATCTTTGTAGTGCATTTAATGCAAAAGAAAAAAGAAGCTGCTCACAAGTTTCATTTCTTTCAGGTGGTCCTCGATGACCAAAGCTGATTGCCCATTGCTCAAATAGCCACTGGAAATTGTTATCCACGTGTGTATATCTATCTCTATCACTCCCACCCACCCTTCCCTCACACTTTTTGTTTAAAAAAAATTATATGCACAAATATTGCAGAAGTTAACATACAGCTCCTACTTTCAGTCTTGCAGAATTTGGAGTTTACAATTCCAGTTAATCAAGACACTTGGGAATCTTAGCTACTTGGTCATCTCCAATTCATATCTGCGTTCTTACCCCAAAAAATGTTTAAAAAAAATTAAATTAATCTTTATGAGGCCAGTATTTAAACAAAAAATGGTGTCACTAGTTTAGAAATTAGAAAAAAATGAAACTAGAAGTTACTGAATTTAGCTGTATTAAGTATGTTTGGTGGGGTGTTTTGGTACCTGCAGAGTTGTTTTTTGCTGTCTCGCACAGTTCTAGGGACTAGAGGACTCCCAGAGACAAGGCTCCTGAATATCCAAACATAAGGGTTAAGTACAAACAGTCAAAAAGCCCGAGAATGAATCGATTCAGTCTTTGCAGGTTAGTCTAAACTGCAGAGATTAAACTGAAACAGAAGTGAACACACATTTACCTTCCAGTCAGGAAATGCAGCCACATGCCTGCAGTGTTTTAAGCCAGGAGCAGGGAGTACTAGACCCTGGTTCTCTGGCATGTAGTCAGCATAGGCTGTTTGTTCATTTCCTCTTCCTTCTGCCCCGAGGTCTCTGGGATTTGCAGTCCAGAATCACAGTAACAGCACTCTCAGTGTTGTTCATCACCTCCTCTTCCTGCTTCCAGGTTCTTCTGGGATTTGTTGTCCACAGCAGTAAGTTTGAACATTTTTAAGGAAAGGCTAAAATAAATGCCTGTGATGGTTAAGCATCTAATTATTCATCATTTTGTGTATGCATGTCATCTCTACAGAAAGAGACTCCCTAGTAAATCAGGAGGTAATCGGAAGAAATTCTTATTTCCTCACTCCTTCCTCCCCATATTAAGTCATTCTCTATACTGTGAGGTCAAAGTTATGGTCCACAGAGCCCTATTAGCAGGCATGCAGTGCTGTCTGTGGGGGTCTTAGACTGGATCCACACTCTTCATGTGGCACATTACTCATCTACATGTGTGGGGCCTAATGAATTTAACACCCTTCCTCTATACCATTTGCAGGACCTGACTATGTGATTTTTTTCTGGGACAGAGGTCTAATTTGCAGAGATATTTTTAAACTATGTCTAGGGGCTGAGGACTGGATATACAGACTTCCACCTCTAGGGCCCTTGTTTGTCATCAGTGCGAGAAGCAAGGATTTTTTTTAGGGTGATATATTTTGTTGGGCTAATAGTGTAATTGGGATAATGTTAAACAAGCTTTCAAATGCAATGTATTCTTCATCACTCTTACACTACCTTTGTCACCAGTGTGATAGAAACTTATCGTTGGTAGGGACCTACTGAATTCATGGCAGAAGTAGAGTGCACGGAGGCTCCTTTAATTTTGCATGTTCCCCCGTGCACATCTTGCCCTTTCTCCCCCCTTCTGCTGATTAGCGGAGGAACCCACTGCTCCCTCCTGAGCAGCAGGGAAGCTAAAACCATGTTTTAAACATAGCATTGTTTTTGTACCTCCCGCCAGTCAGCACCAAACAGCTGGGCCATCTGGGCCCCTTTAGCCAATCAGCGGCAGGAGGCAAAAATGCTGCCATCTTTAAAACCACAGTTTTTGCCTCCCCGCTGATCAGGAGTGAGCCGCAAGCAGGGCCCCTCCATCAATCAGCGGGGCAGGAGGGGAGGGTGTGGGGGAACCTGCAAGATTAAAGGAGCTACAGTGCACCCCACTTCTGCCATGAATTTGGTAGGTCCCTAATTATTGGACATCTGTTAGGGAAGTGGCTTACCAGTCTCCATCCAGTTTCCCCCATTACAAAATAACCTATTACTACTGCAACAGTGAAGTCACAGATGGGGCATACATAGGAGATCAAACCATCCTCTCATTCCAGAAAGGGAAACCTATGGAAGCAGTTTGATGCTGTCAGAGCAGGGTGTGGTGGCAAAACTGCCTATTGTATGGGTCAACACTTCCATCTCCAGTGTCATACCATTGGCATAATAGAGGCACCAGGAATGGATCCAGATGGAGTGCCATGATGCAGCTGTACCACCCTCGCCCTTTCCCTGGATCCACTACAGAAAGGCATTATGCTCAGCTGACCATGTCTGCTGGACTGGACTGCTGATTCAGACAGAGAAAAACCCTGCATTAAATGATTATAAAGTTAAAACAAGCTTTCATGAACCTCTTATTTCTGGGCTTGAGTGTGCAGACATGCTTGCACATGATGTGCCCATGGGACCACTCTATGCAGCAAGTGCTCACCCATACGAAGGATTGCACAGCTGGGTCCATTTTATTACGGGCTACTCCTTCCAGCCTCTTACGTCAAAGCACTACCACTTAACATCCATACAAAAAAGAGGCAGGAAATCTTTCTCGGCTTCTGCTGTACCCCTATTTCAGCTCATTCCAATCATATCTAACCCACCAGATACTGTGCTCTAATTGCTGATGTGTTTCAACAGAGAGAAGCCCTACTAAGAAAACCACCAGCCAGGCTGGAAAAGCTTGATATCAAAAGAAAAGAGGTGAACGATCTGACCCTGGAGGACATTCAGAATTCTGCTGAAGAGAAAGAAAAGGTAATTTAATTCAGCGGCATCATTCTTGCCTATGGCTTTGCCTCCTAAAAACACCTCCTGCTTAAAAAATAGCCTAGATATCAGATGTCTGTAACAGGTGCTAGCAAAACATAGCCAAGAATGTCACAGGAGTGAGCACTACACTCAGCAGTATGTCTGGAGGACTGGGCTGTTAATTTGTATATACTGAAAACCAGCAGGCTCCTGGGACAAAGCGGGAAAGGGGTGGGGGTGGACAGAAAGAGTTCAAGAGAAAGAATTGTAAAATAGTATCTTTCCATGTTCTGTAGCAAGACATACTGTTCACAGCTGCTGCATTTATATTTTATTTCCTTTGAGCAAACTGGCTGGATTTCACATCACTTGGAGTGACGTTTGAATTATATGGAGATGGAAAGACAGAATCAACTATTAAAATGTGTGTTCAAATGCAGTTTATGCCTGCTTCCCTCACTCACTACAAAGCAACATATTCATTTTTTCAGACTGCAGAACAACTGAACCAAAGACTACAGAGCAAGAGATTTTCTCCAGCAACTGCTCACCAAAACGTAGCTCAGCTAAATGAATCCTGTTATTTAACCGCAGAAGGTGGAAAAGGGACCGACACTAGTCAGCTTTTATCATTAGATCCAGAGGACGGAGAAACTGCAGTCGAAACTGTAAATGGCAATTTTGAAGACTTTGCTGTTGTGGAGTCAGATACAACTTATAACTGTTCAATTGAAGCATTCTAAAAAAGAAAAAAAATGTTTCTTTCAAACACATTCAGCTCATGAAACAGAGGACTGAGGATTGCTTAATGAAAAGATGGGGGGCAAACCCCCCAACAGAAACAAAACAAAACAAAAAACACATTTCTTCAGTTTTATGTGGTGGGATAGCTGCACTGTTCCCTTTTAACTGCATGAACCAAACCTTCCTTTGGTACATAGGTATGGCATTTCCTTAATTTCTGCCATGAAGAGAAGACAGACATTACAGGATCTGCTTAAAGCCAACCTGCTATGAGACTCTGCTTCTTTCTCAATCTCCCCAATCTTGATTAAGACAGCTGGCCACCTTAACAGTCAGCACCTCAGTTTAGTGCACAGAGTCAGCATCCCCACCCTTATTCTAAGATCAAACACTAATCATAGTTCAGTATTAGCCAAGACCAGCAATCTAGGTCCTGCCACATGCCCTGTACTAAAGCCTTGCACTGAAGAACCTGATGTGGGGTAGGGCAGGCTGCTGCTCTCAGTGATGATGATGATGAAATGATACTTGCTGTCGGTGCTTACTTACTTAGCAGGAAGGCTACCTGCAAGGATTTCAGTGAGAAGTTGGTGGCTTGGCAAACAGATGTGAAAGGGAGTCAACACATTAGGGCAATATGGAAACATGGAGGAAGGAGCCAGAAACTAAAGGACAAAGGTTATGGCTAAGAGAGCTCTAGGTTAGTCCAATTGAATGGGAGAAAAGGCCAGACTAGGTTAGGCCCCTGATAAGCAAGCTGTTTGAATTTGAGGTGCAGGATGTGGGGGAGGTGGGGATGGTCCAGAGAAGGGATTTGGATGGTAGGCATACCATGGCTTGAAGCAGAGAAGATGGTTTGGGGGCAGAACCCTGCCCAGACTGGAGGGAAGCCGTGTGAGTGTGAAGAGCATCAGAAAGAGGCTTCTTGGGTTTAGGGATAGTTAGGGCACAGATAAGTAATCTAGCTGCTGCCATGAGAAGGAGAGAGGAACATTGTTCCATTTGTATTGCATCTGGTGGTGGAGGGAAGCTTGGTACTCACCTGAAGAAGTAGTATTGCTCAATTCAAGAAATCCACAAATGTGAATCAGATCCAAAAACACATGAAATTTTTGTATGGCTGTGTTTTGAGGGCTGTATTTTGATTTTTTGAATTCATCCTGCCTATGCACAGTGGTGGCATTTGTGTGGAAGATAGTTAGTGTTACCAGCTTTCCTAAATTTACTGAGATGTGATTTCTGGTCCTTTGCTTCCCTGCTCAACAAATTAATGTGACTCCCAAACTCCAGATCAATTCTGTTCTCTCAGCCTTGCATCAATCCTGACCACCCACACATCGGTACCTACATGGCCTTCATCTGTTCAACCTATCAGTCTTCACCTCCTAGAAGTCTTTACCCTCCCTTCTCCTGGGCCATGGAGCAGATGCAGTGGGAGGCTCTTTTTCTCTCTTGCTCACTGAGGGGGAACAACTGCTGCAGGGTTCCCTTCTCCTGTGTGGCAGACCAAGCATTGCAGGAAGATGAGCAGATGCATCCTGAGCCACTGGACATTTTCTTCTCTCCTCTCTTCTCTTTTGAGTTGCTGAAGGAAGAAGGAAAAACTTTCCCTGCTTCACAAGCAGTCTGACAGCCTGATGCTGTCAGTACTCAAAGTGGGCAAGTGAGGCAGGAAGCCAATTAAAGGGGATTTTCCCACCAGACCCACCCCAGCCCAAATCCTTTCATGAAATTGTAAGACCTGGCACCACTATGAAAGAGCTGAAGATTGCCTCTACGTTGTCTGCATGGAGTGGCAGGATGGTGAGAGTTTCAAACAACAAAGGACAACGGTAGCAATCATGGGGGACTTTGGAAGCTCATTTTACATCCTATTGATCCTAGCTGACAGGATGCCATCCAATTGCAGGGGGAAAGGGGTTGGAGAACAGGGATGGGCAAAATATGGCCCACAGGCCATATCTGGCCTGCTAATTGAACCTATCCAGGGTCTGAGGAGGAAGGGCCATGCCCTGTGCCACTCTGTTCTGCTGTAGCTGGGCTGGGCTGGGAGGTACAGCACTCAGACTTCTCCATGCCCCGTATCAATCCCCCCACAACCTGGCTTCCTGTTGGCGCTTTGGCTGCACAGTCCTGACTGCAGCTGTAGGAAGCTGGGCCCCCTTTGGATGAGGTGTAGTTTAGCATCCTACCTGCCCGCCCCAATGAGCTGCTGCTGTGCCACTAGTCCATGCCAGCCATGGGGGATGGGAGGAAGGGGCGGCGCAGAACTTGGCCTTGGGCAGCCACCCCTGACTTTCCCACTGTGACGTGGCAGCAGTAGTGGTTCATTGCAGTGGGCGGACAAGCACAACAGCTACTCAGTGCGCTGTATTGTGCACTGTCCCATGTGGGCCCAGTTGCTGGTGGCTGTGGTACTCAGGGGGATAGAGTCTGTCCACTACCCGTGCCATCCCACCTGCAGCAGAGCAGTGCCATGGGGCACAGCCATCCCTCATCAGCTCCCAGCAGTGGGCCAGATAGAATCAATTGCCTTCCCCCCCCAACCTCCCAGCCCTCAACAGCTGACCAAGACTCCTTAAGTGGCCCTCCAGCCCAAATAATTTCCTACCCCTGGTGTAGAAAGAATCAGAAGGAGGTTGGACAGAGACATGCATTGCTAAGGTGGAGAGACAGATTTGAGCATCACAGCAAAATAACAACTGACTTGGTTTCAGTGGATAAACTTCACAAAAATCAAATGTGCCTTTGAAAGAATGTTGGGTTTTTATATAGCAAGGTGCCAATTTTTAGCCCCTCCCCTCCTTTTAATTATCAGATAAGGCTTTACATTTGCTGGGTCTATATAAAACTAGTGAATTGCTAGACTGATATTTATCAATCTAATATGAACTCAAAAGTCATTCTAAAATAAAGTGAACAAACACTCTCTATTACTAGAACCATAGCATTTTAAACCTTTTTTTTGTTAATTATGTAAGTGATTAATCAAAAACTGATTGAAGCCCCATGGAATTCAGTCTGTATTTTTTCCAGAGGTTGGCTTGGGGCTTTGATGTATAACAGCAATTATTAAGTAAAGGAAAAAGAAACTTTTGCGGGTTAAGAGTGAATGATTATGTATCACTCACACCTACCTCCTTCCTAATTTCTGCAGTGCTTAGTGTAGATAGTGGTATATCATTTTGGAAGATTCGCCCATCAACCTGTTCTGCACATATTTGTTTATATCAGAGGTTCCTTTGAAATTCGGCAGTTCTCAGGCAACTGCTATTAGATGCCAAAAATCAGTCAAAACTGCATAGTTTCATAGTTTCTAGGGTTGGAAGGGACCTGAACAGATCATCAAGTCCAACCCCCTGCTCTGGGCAGGAACGAGTGCTGGGATCATAATACCCCAGCCAGATATCTTTCCAACCTCCTCTTGGAGACCCCCAAGGTAGGGGAGAGCACCACCACCCCTAGGAGCCTATTCCAGAGCCTGGCAGCCCTAACTGTAAAGTAATGGCTTCTGATATCAAGCCTGAACCTACTCTCAATCAATTTGTGGCCATTATTCCTTGTTATCCCAGGTGGTGCCTGGGGGTACAGCGCCTCACCTACTTTCTGCTGGTCCACCCTGGTGAGTTTATAGACAGCCACCAGATCCCCTCTCAGTCTTCTCTTGTGGAGGCTGAATAGATTTAGGCCCTTTAGTCTATCCTCATAGGGCCTGGCCTGCTGCCCCCTGGCCATGTGAGTGGCCCTCCTCTGGACCCTCTCAAGGTTAGCCACATCCCTCCTGAAGTGCAGCACCCAGAACTGGACCCAGGACTCCAACTGTGGCCTGACCAATGTCGCATGAAGGGGAAGGATCACCTCCCTGGACCTGCTTGTGATGCATCTGCAGATGCCCAACAAGGTGCAGTTAGCCTTATTGACCACTTCCTTGCACTGGTGGCTCATGTTCATCCTGGAGTCAACAATGACTCCAAGATCCCTTTCAGCCATTGTGTTGTTGAGAAGGGTGTTCCCCAGCCTGTAGGTGTGTTGCAGGTTCCTTCTCCCTAGATGCAGCACCTTGCACTTGTCTGCATGACAAGGGCCAGATCTTTAGTTAAGTAGTGCTCCATGTTTTCAAGCAAAATTTGTCCCCAGACTTATTTTTGTCTGCAGTTCTGTTGAACTTGCTGTCTTTGTGCCTGATTTGTGGGTGACAGAAATGAAAACCGAGTAAAGCATGGCTGAAAAGAGGGTCTTAAATCTTGCAGATATGCAATACTTGATACATCTGTTTCAGCATTCATCAAATATACAAACCTGAAAGTGAGAATGGACTGGAAGCAATTCAGTTTCTCTACAAGTCATTCCTTTCTTTCATCTCTTTGTTCACCTGTTTAGCACGATGATTTAAGAGGAAGAGGAATAAAGATATATTCCTTGGTTCTGCTTCAAAATGATTGTATTTCTTGCTCACTCTTAGTGTGCAGGACAGTCTGAGTATGGCCCTCATTGCTATGTTATCTGAGTTCCTCCCAAGTTCTTAAAATAGGGTTATCTTGAAAGGTGCTACTGATTGCCAGCAAGGAAGTCTTGCATCCAAAGATGATGACAGAGCTCCTTAATGCCAATGGATGTGCAATGCACTCTCCCAGACCTACTACAATGGGCACTCAGGTCCCTTTGTGTAGTGAAAACAGGTATAGACAATGGGAACTCATTACAAGCCTGCCTGAAAAAGGTAACCTCTGTGGACCAAGCAGTTTCCCTCTTTGCAAACATAGGGATCAGGATAATCATGTGTGTCTGTTTACAGTGGATTAAATTGAGAAAAGGAGTTGTGCGTGTGACTGTGAGGGGAAACACAGAGACAGGGCTTCTTGAACCCGCAATATACCTGAGTGGTAGGCATGTGGACTTCTAAGCAAAGTTGCTTCCTCCTGCTTGGTTTGTACAGTTTTCAGAGCAACAGGACATTATACATTTTCTTTATAAATAAACAAAATTATACTAGGAACATATCAGA